TTTTTTTTTTACAGAAAAGAGAATGTTTATTTGTACGGTCGCATATCTGAGAATGATCTGCTAATGGTCAATTGCTCTGAATATCTTTCTTGATTTAATGAGATCAGTATGACTATCGGCTTCTTGTACCACTTTACTTCCAAGAGTTTGCGAAGCAAAAATTTTCCAGGAAAACTCTGATGGATTAGGTCGCGACCATTAACATATCAAGTTTCACTTATTTCTCTCAGTCTTGTGCAGAATTGTGTGGTCATGCCTAACCGCCTTATTAATTTTGAACCCTGAAGTTATACCGAATAGCAAAAAAAGATTGGAGTGACAACTCATGTACTATAGCGAATGGTTTGAAGTTTATATAACACTCGCAGTTTTGGGCAAAAGCATTAAAGCTATACTTAGAAAAAAAAATCCGACTCTCGAATGCGACGGTCTGAGCATTGTCAACCAACATGTATAGGATTTGCTATTTCTTTCTAAAATATGGCACGCTTACCGAAATCAAACTCGATATGTCGTATAGGACTACTTAGTAGAAAGATCAAGAGATGATTTTTTCTAGGTGGAAAGGGGAGAATGTGTCGACAACACAAGTGGAAGCAGTACTGCAAGGACTTTCAGGCATTCACGATTGCACCGTTTACGGCGTAGAAGTTCCAGGTAGAATTGATAGGACTATAATTATCAGAATTAACCAAATAACACGTAACCATAGCTTGTTTGAGATTGTGAAGGCAAAGCAGGAATGGTTGCCATATCTCCGAGTCCTGGTGTGGCCATTCGCATTCTCCTTACTATACTTTACAAGCGTTTCACAACAGCTCTTCCTCCCTATGCTGTGCCTTGTTTTGTAAGGATCACAGATGATATAGACAAAACAGGTCAATAAAATATATGAAAATCCAATTCAGGAAGTGTATTATCTGTTATTTATTTTTTGAATTTAAGAGACATTCAAGATGAAGAAATCAGCTCTACAATCCCTCGGATTCAACCCCAGCTCAGGATCAAAAGTATACTTCTTGGACCATCCCAATGAGACGTTTACAGAAGTCACAGAGGAAGCTATAGCTGAATTGAAGAAAAAGCGAGTAACACTGTAGCCAAGATTACCTATTAAGAAGTCAGAAAGAGTTATATCAATAATAATAAGTTGTATAAATATGTATAAATGTTAGAGATGAAGCACCTTTACACCATGATTGAAATCTGATTGATTATGACACAATTCTGACGAAGATCAACCCGAGCATGCTTCTGATGCAGTAGTTACTAGAATATCAGAGTATTCACGGGCAGTTTACCCCATGCTTTCGAAAGTCATTGAGAATGGAGTACGAGATAAGGAGCCAATCAAAGATAGAAACGGTAAACTATATTTGCACATGAGTATGAAAAAAGAAAAAAGCGAAAACAGCTACTTTTTGCAAGGCTCAGCCTAGAAACCAACTGTTGTTAGCATATCGCTTAGCAAGGAGAATCGTTCAAGCTCTGTATTAATCTATAGAATGAAATGTATTGTTAGAAGAAGGCAATCAATGGCTCAAAAATGCAGAGAAAATTTACTTAGAACTTTAATAGATCCCTCCAAAAAGTAGGAAAGTACTGTAAAATATTTTTTGTCCAAGAAGATAACTTATGAAAGTTTCATAGAAGAGTGCTATACTTCCCAATTATGTTCGTTAAACTATAAGACTGGG